CAGGCGGGCAGGCGGGCAGGCGGGCACGCGGGCAGGCGGTTGAAACTTTTAATTAAATCACGTCTAATGTAATATCTGTAGTTCGGTGTTCTTTACTTTGCGTTCCGATTTTGCCATATATATTGTAATTTGTATGTATCCGGTTTTTACTGGACAAATGAAACTGCCTTTTACAGGAAAGCCTAGTTGACGCAAATGTGTAGTTACTAGATGTGTTAACAACCTTCAGTTTTTTAAGTGCAAGTACCATACCTTATAGGATTCACGGAAACAAGATGAGTCTTACCAACTTACAGGGCACCGGTCGCTAAGTAAACTTAACTAACATATAGTACAATGATTGTAACAATCTTGTAAACTGATAATTGGTTTCATGATTTTTTTTACAGATTAAATAACTTAATGTAATATTATTCACGTATTTTAGTTTAAAAAGATACGTAGCTAGCTATTAGCTGAGACAACTTTACACAGGATTACAGAGACGCACGACACGCGGGGGCTTACGACTTGACACTTTTTCAATAAGACCCTTGTTCTTAAATGTGATACCTCACGCCCTAACTAGCTGTCTCGTGTCGGCTAATACGTAAAAAAATCACAAAAAATACTCGGAAAATTCCATTCTCTTTTGTTTAATTTTTTTTCGTATTTCGTGAATAATGGAAAAGGAAAGGAAAGCCAAAAAGTTTATTATGGCGCTATTCAAAAGTTATTAACGCTGGCCACATGAATATATTACATATTAAAAAGAAAAACTTATGTTTCTTCTTCATCATCTTCCTGATTTTATTACATTTCGAATAATAAAGATCAAAACAAACAATTTGCTAATAAAACACGTGCAATGGAACGTTTCACATTAACATTTGACAGATTAGAGTTGATAAAACTTGTAAGTTGTAAGTTAATTCAGCTCTCGACGGCCGGAGGCGTACGTCGTAATAACTTATCCAATTAATACGATTGTTAAACTTAACTAGCTTTTAGTTGAGCTTACAATTTAATTTAATCAATTCGTAAAACTGCTTGAATAAAAATGTTGACGTTATTTTTTTCTTAAAACTAATTACTTGGATTACTCATTACATTTGAATGTCTCATAAAATAAAATATTAGAAAAACTTTTTTAGTGTCCGTTTGTATAAAGATAGAAGTCTCGGTTGGTGTGTACAACCGCTGTTTGTACAAATTAAACAAGTAATGAGAGTCATTTAATGTTTATTGAATACTATTTACAAGTTTTATATAAATGCGTCGTTCACTCGGCCTCGTGCAGCGAGAACAGCTTGGCGGCCTCCAGCAGGTCCTCGAAGTGGCCCTGCTTCAGCACCTGCACACACAACCATTATTTCAAATCTCTTGCAATTTGCCCCGCCCCCATCTCCGCCCCCGCCCCCAGTCCTCACCTGTCT